AAATTCCCACCCCCTAAGAGTGAGCCTATTATATGCCCCACCCTGTATATGTTGAAATATGCGTTAGTTTAAAGTATGTTTAATGTAGGATATTATGAATGTTTTTTTTGTTGTTCGTTTATTTTAAATTTGTATATAATTCGAAGAATGAAGAAAGTTCAAGAGGTACCTGCAGTTTGATCTATACATTAAAATAAATAAAGAACTCGGCAATATGGTACATGTACTTCTACTTGTTGCTTGTATTTGGAATGTGAATATGTGGATGTGTCTGTATTTGATTTTGTTGCGTGGCAAAAATGCATGCACGAAAAAAAGAAGAAATATTTTTGGCGCACACAAGATCAATATCGTCAAGAAACTCAATTGTGAGATGGATGAAAGAGACACACTAATAAAAAAGATATTATTATAATGAGAGAAATGGAAGCTTTAAAGCGTGCCGCATAAAATGCTCATGTACACAAAGATTGACATTGAATTATATGGATATTTTGGGCTTGTTTTGTTTGTTGTAAAATGTTTCTTTCTTCAATTTCCAAGCACATTAATTATTATACATTTAAAAGTTGAACTTTTTTAATTATTCGATGGCAATGCGATAATATTTAGAGAATTTGGAAAATGTAAAATTTTTCTGTTTTTTTTTTTGTGTTTGGCTTTTGCTAAAAATTTGTTCACATTCGTTCGGCTATCACATTCAAACAATTTAAAACAAAAAAAATGTTCATTTCAAACGAAATAAATGATGTTGGTCACACGGGGCGACATTCAATGGCATGGATTTGGAAAATTAAATGCAAAAATAAAGAATATTATCGTTCATAGGGAGTGATTAGATCAAAAAAATGTATGGTTCAATTATGAGTGTGCTTTCAAATCACGTTTCAAAAAAACGAACATTTAATGCATTTCCATTTCGAGAATTTGCAGATAAAATGGGGCTTAATATTTGTTTCTGTTGCTTTCGTCTCTTCACTATAATTCAAGTATAATTCGAAAATTATTGCTTTTTGTTTCCAATTGTTAAATTGATGCAGTGTTTAATTCAGTTTATCGTTTTAAAAATTTATTATTATCGCTATTCGTCCGATTTCAATATATTGAATGATATTTGTTTTTAATTTTGGTTTTGGCAAAAATTTAGCCAGAATTGCTGGTCAAGGCTCAAGAAAGCCTACGGCGATATATTCCTTTTGTTTGTTGTTTGAGAAGGGGGAAACAGAGAAAAAAGAAATAAACAACAATAACTCAGTAACTAATCACAGTATTTGGTATTTTTTTTTCTCGTCAAATTTTCTTTCAAATTTCAGTAAATGCATGTTTGCTGAACTTTAGGTAATATGATTTCAATTAACGTTATAATGCCTTCAAAGCGAGCAATTAGAAGGTGAAGAATTCAAAAAATACACGTTATCCTCATTCTCTCTTCGAAAACGATTAACAATTTATAATTCACATTTGTTTTGCTCTCCTCTCATTTCGTTCCTTCCTTTCTTCCCTCTTTAATTGTGTTATAATAATTTAATTAATATATAATGAATTTATTAATTTAAATATATAGAAGCATACTCTATGTTTTTTTCTAGATGATTTTTTCTTTCTTTTGACTTTGGTAATTTTGCCAAGACGAAAAAAAAATCCTCTTTCATTTTATATAATAATAATAATAATAATACTTTATCACCATAAATCAAGGCATACATAATTATAATTTCTTACAGTTTTTTTTGTTGTCATTATTTTTGTTTTATATTACTGAATATTCTAATAGAAACAAATTGATTCGAAAAAGATTTTGGGATGAATGGTCTGCAATATGTACTCAACGTTCAAGTGTTCGATCTCAAAAAATGTGTGTGTGATGTTGTCAAAATTCTATTGTTTCAAGGTGGTAATATAAATACAAAGAGTTGAACATTTTGTGTTGTTTCAGTGTAAAGCCGTTTAAAGATCATTGATAGGCTATGTATCAGTGTGGCATGTTTTACATAAAATGAAATATCTAATTGAACAGTTCGCAACACTTTATATTAGTTTGAATATCAATGTTTGCGATAATTTGTTGGCGAAATAGATGTCATTCATCTCGGCCAAAGTGTGACTGCTTACACAACATTCTCTTAATTTTGTTCTTTCCTTGTTGTAAGTGTTTGATTTGAAAACAGAAAAAAAATAATTTAGTCTTCTTTATTTAATGTTTCTGGTGCATCTAGTCATCTTTGGCTAGTACTGCAAGGTCTCCCAAAAAGTTTTCTGGTGTTAGAATGTGTGATGAGCCGATAATGATTTCCCAATTTTTATTGGCAGCAGTCACTTCGTATGCGCAACGCATTTCCGAATAACTCATACCACCCACAATGAATACAATGAGACGTGGTACATTTTTGATTGCAGTTTGCGCTTTATCTTTGTGCCAATGACCGTAACGTGCGCTGGTTGGTGCATGGTATGTGCTGCTTTGTGCACGACCCGCCAAAAATGGAAAGTGTCGCTGATCCAATTTATCGTCTATGCTGTCTTCAATGATATCTTTTACAACTGGCGTCCAACGTGACATCTGGTACGTGTGCTCGGTTATGCGCTCCTTACGTGGTACATTATATGTTTTCTTTCGATTGCCCTGTGAATTGAAACAACATTCGATGCAATTTGGATTACGATTCCAAATTCATTGAAAACAAAAGAAAAACTTACATCTGCAATGGTGTTCACTCCAAGAAAACTCAAGTTTCGCACCATGTCTTGGTCTTTTTCGGCAATTTGAGCATGTGTGAACAATTTCCGGAGATTCTCCTCTGAAATACCGTTCTTAACCATACAGTAGAGAGCGATGATGCGAATCTTGTCATAGTTTGAAATGCTCTGAAAGCGACAGAAACATTTATATTAATGTAAAAAAAAAAATTATGGGAATTTTTTGTGTTGTTTTCACTTACTCCATCTAATAGAATTGGAACAATATTCTTCATGTGATCTTTAATCTTTTCACCTTCAGCATCTGTGCCCATTGCCAGGTCCTGTTCCACTTTGCACAATTTGTCCACATAGCCCTGCGAATAACGATTTGAAATTACAATGAATTCTAGTTCTTTCAATACAGTTGACACTCGATTTATATCACACTTACTTGGTAGGATTTCATACAATCTTCGGCTAAATGTAAATGGGTTGCATATTTTGATAGTTCTTTTTGATATTGTGGCATCTTTTTGATCATTTGCGATAGATCACGCATTGACTGTTTGTCGCCTTGTGTCATACGCTTTGATTCGGTGAACTTTTTCAAATTTTGTGTAACCGCTGTACTGACCACGGCAATATGTTGATGACGTAATTCAACCCATAATTCATCATTCTCATCCAGTAGTACTTCTTTATCAGCTGCATTCGGCGATGGCATATACCTAAAAAAATAACAAACCATTTGTGATTACAAAAACACCAATAAAACACACACACACGGACACTCACTTGTAAACATCGTTGACGATTGGCAAGAGATCGTAAGCCATAGCTTGTAGCGTAAGTTCGTGCAACAATGGCGAGATACAATCGAAGCCACGATCCAAGATTATGAGTTGTGAACGAGCCTTTTCTGGACCTTCACCCATCGTTGGCTCATCTGAACGGAAAGAAAAACAAATTTAACAATCATTTAAAAATAAGCATTCAATTCTTCTTCCATGGATTACATACCGGCTTTGTATGCATCCAATTTTTGTTGGATTAGTTGTGCCAATTCAACATTTCGATCCCAGTCACTGCAATGTACAGAAAAAATAAATTAATTTTTTGCCTTTGAAATCGTTTGGTTTTTCGAATTTCATTTCAACTTACAGCCGATATCGAACCGATGGATATTCGCCCAATGTAGCACACAGTGTGGCCACTTGTTCAGCAATCCGTTCCATTTGTGCTAAACGTGCACCCTGCAAACTTGGCGAGTACAAACATTGGAAAGTGTCGGGCGAGTCCAGTGAAAATACCTAATCGATACGAACATAAAAACCCATTGAAATTGTTTCAAATATTGGACCACCGCCAAACATCAAACACACATATATACAAATGGCTTTTGGTGTTAGTAATAGTGGGTATGTGTGCTATTCTACTTCAATTTAAACATTAACTACATTTGTGAAAAAGACGAGATTCACACCTGACACTCGTATGGCAAAAATGCAATATTAATTTCCTTCAATGTTTTTATTTTTTTTGCGGCCTGCGATTTACAGATATCGTTGAACAGCTCCTCAGGACACACTATGTGTGCATGCCGGTTATATTAGTTTAAAGAAAATGATTTATTTTAGTGACAAATGCAACGTAAATTTACAACAAAAATCATTTGAAATTAACAGTTGATGAGAATTAAAAATGAAAGAAAGTTAAAGAAAAGAAAATTGATTGAAATAAAATCATAAACCCGTCTTTGATCAGTTAAAAAAAGAATGTTCAGGGGTGAACGAAAAATTAAGTTTAGTTTGCATGCATAAACAAAAAAAAACCAAAAACAAAAACACAAACAAAACAAAACAAAAATCACCTGTTGTTCATATGGAATAAATGCGACATTAATTTCTTCGCATCTTTTTAGAAATTTTAATTTAAATAATCTTGAATTGGCTATCATTTCCATTATTCTGTCTGGTGCGGCTATTTTTTGGTAATTAAAAGAAAAATAAATAAAACAAAACCAAAAAAAAATATATATGAAATAATGACAAACAAAAAAAAATTGAACCAAAAAGAATGGGTTTGTTTGAGCAAAAGAAGTGAATGAAAGGTACCTTCGGTGAAGAAAACATGGGCGGCTTTGTAAAGAGGTCGATTGGGATTATCAAAATCTTTAATTAGTGAACGCACTGATTCTTCCGATGGTGTCATCAAGTAAACCGCTTCCATTGTTGCAAGCGGTTCACGCTTCTTATTTATGTCTTCGACCACTGAAACGTTTATATAAATTATCACATGCACGTACAATTTGCGAACTTACAAAATGAGATCATGTTTGTACTTACGCGTGACTCCCTCAGCGCTGATATCGTGCATTTTACAGCAAGCCGATACCATGCGCATAGCCAGCTTATCAACCACAAGAATACGCCATTCAACTCCGCCACCTTTGGCAGCAGCGGTGCCGCTTTTTGGTGGCTTGTAACGAATGACTTCGTTCATAATCTCTGGAAATTTCGTTGAAAACAAAAAAATGATAAATAATTGTGCATGTTAATTTCATTTCATTTTAATGGCTAATTCAATTATATTGGCTAATTTCGGTGTTTGGTTTGAGAAATTCGTCAAAACTTGAAGTAGGTTATCAGTTTAACATAACATGAATCACACATGAAGCAATGTATTCACAAACATCGAAATGATGTTCTTTTTCACACACAAACAGACACAACAACGATGTCATGCACAACGAAAAATGACGTCACTCCGTAATGGCAATATAGCAAATTCAAATGATATCTCTGCACAGCGCAGGTTCACAATACCAAATATAAAAATCGATAATTCCATGTTCATTGAGTAGGTGCTGTATATTTTTTTTGCCGTTTTACGCTCATTTGCGGATAAATTAAAAAAAATCATTTAAATAAATTGACCAAAATTGAAAATGAAATCATTTCATTTGTTTATAGAATGAAATGGAGAGTTTTACTACTGTATGTAATCATTCATACGAATCAAAACACTTATATTATTTGCGTTTATTTTTATTTTGGGGCGTTTAACTAGATTATGAATCACGATATCAAATTTTCACATTTTTTATGGAATTTTCGAATTTCAACCAAAAACCACTTCATTTCGTTCCTATGAATTGAACTATTTGTGAACGATTTTTAATGAATTTGAAACTTTTTCTAGTGGAATTCAATTATTATAAACTGAAATTATTACACTTACTTTGACCAACTTGTACTTTCAACGCCATTTTTAATAGAACTACTGATGAAGTGTTAGATTATTTCGGAATTCTTTTAGATACACTGCGTACATATAGAGTACGGTTGTCATATGTCAATATTTGTGTCGACTGTGCATAGGCATGTAGTGGTGGAGACTGTTAACAGCTTCGTGAGTGTGTAGCATACATGCACGTGAGTGTAACGAACAACAGCAACACCAAATAGCGCGCATTTTAAATTATATTTCAACTCAACGAAACAATTTATATCGTGAAGAAAAAGAGAGTTCTCCTTTCCATTCTCAAAGCAAGTTGTCATTAGAGCATTTTTTTCTCATTTGATTAGCCAATATAAATGGTTTTGACAGTTTTGAAATTCAATTCCAGTAACTTCCAAAGAGATTATCTGAAAGCGTACATACCTTTTAGCCGTCAATATTTTGCATTACCATTCGATTTTTGACCAGAGAAATCATTCAAAATCTGAAAATTGAGTAAAACTTTAAAGCGTTGGCAGTTTTTTCTTTCATTTCAATTAATTCAATTTATTTGGTTTATATTTTCAAATACATCATAATATTGAACTTCCACTTGAATACAAGTAAAATTGAACACGAGTCAATCAAAAAAACAGATTGTTATTTGTCTTTTGAGACTGTTTTCTTTTTTGCTCGTGAGAGTTAATTTTAAAGTTCAGTTCGATCGAAACGCTACGTGGCAAATCTAGTTTATTTTCATCTATATTGGTATTGACTAAATGTCGGGTTTTTAATTAAATTGTTTAGTGTCACCGGAAATGTAATTCATTTCTTTGCCAAGAAGAGTCGATGTAAAATGCATCGAAAGAGCGTTCTAAAGGGTCTTTCATTAGGAGTGTCGTAGTTTGCTAATAGTGTTATTCGTGACTCACGCGACGTGAGTTCTGACAATATGTGTTTTTGACATCTACAATGTCTACCATTTAATCATGGAAAAATACACGCTTGAACAACGTTTACAAATAATTCAATTATTTTACCAAAATTCGCGGTCGATCGCGACAACTTTACGTGCGCTGACGAAAAGTTTCGGTCGGTATAATCGTCCCACCCGTCGCACCATTGAACGTTTAGTGGCCAAATTTGAATCGAGCTACTCTCTTCATAATGTTGCCAGTGAGACAAAGAAAGGCAAGGAGTGAGGAGAATATCGCCGCTGTACGTGACTCGGTAAGTCAAGACCAAAATCAGTCGATTTCTCGCCGATCGCAGGAATTAGGCATCTCTCAGACGTCACTGTGGCGCATTTTGCGAAAAGATTTGGCTATACGTCCATATAAGATCGTACTGACCCAGGAACTAAAGCCTAATGACCATGGTGCGCGTCGAAACTTTTCCAATTGGGCTTTAGCAAAGTTGGCCGAAGATGGCGATTTTCACAAAAAAATCATCCTCAGTGACGAAGCACATTTTTGGCTCAACGGCTTTGTGAATAAGCAAAATTGCCGTATTTGGTCAAGTGAGCAGCCAGAAGTGTTTCAAGAGTTGCCGGTGCATCCCAAAAAATTGACTGTTTGGTGCGGTTTTCATGCTGGAGGAGTGATTGGGCCGTACTTTTTTCGAAATGATGCTGGCGAAGCGGTTACAGTCAACGGAGAGCGCTATCGAAAGATGTTAACCACTTATTTTTGGGACAAATTGCGTCTGGATGGTTTGGAGGACATGTAGTTTCAATAAGACGGTGCACCCAGCCATACAGCGGGCATTACAATCGACTTATTGAAATCGAAGTTCAATGAACGTGTAATCTCAAGAAAAGGCCCTGTCGCTTGGCCGCCTCGCTCTTGCGATTTAACGCCGCTCGACTTTTTTTTGTGGGGCTATGTTAAGTCTCTGGTTTATGCCAATAAGCCTGAAACTTTAGAGGAGCTTGAAACCAATATTCGACGCGAAATTGCTAGCGTATCGGCCCAAATGTGCGAAAAAGTGATGGAAAATTGGGTTCAGCGCATCCACTCATGTAAGCGGTTCCGTGGAGGACATTTGAACGATGTTCTATTCCATAATTAATGGTATCGATTGTACTTCAACCCAAAATAAAAATTTCATTGATATCGCAAACACATGTCTTTTTATTAAAAAAACAAAATGCGTCGCTCTTAATGAAAGACCCTTTATATCGATTGAAAAAAAAAAACATTTTTTTTTTTTCATTTTTAACAAGCGTAAGCCATTTGAATTGTACAGATGAAAGCAAAATTTTAGTCAGCTACATTTTGGATTGTTTTTTTTTTTTAAGAAATAGCACACACCAGACAAATAAGCGTTTTTTTTGTTCATAAAATTTGTTTGTCCTTTCCATCTGGAGGTTTTTTTTGTTTAAAACGAATAATATTTACAAATTACATTGAAGTAACAATATTTATGGCCACATCAAAAATTCATTAAATTTGTTCCATAAGCTTAATTTGCATTTCATCTTCTTAAATTCATTTTTAAAAATCGAAATTTTGACATTTAATTATGATAATCTTGCTTGCATCATTGTATATCCTAAAATGAAATACTTAAAATATCTAAATTGATAGCCAACTGTAATCGGTTTTCAATCCAACGTAAAAAGATTCAAAATTATCGTTTAAAAAAAAATTGTACAATAATTAAAAATTATATCACAATAAACAAATAAAGAAAATGTGATTTGATTGAATCTCATTGAAACGATGACAAACTGAGATGAGATTTGTTTATGGCGGCTGGGATCGGGGAGAAAATAATGAAAATCAAATTCATTTGTGGCAGTATAATGTTATGCACGACGGCCTAAAATCTTATATTTTTGCTACTTTGGTTTGCTAAAATGAACAATTTTGTAAATAATTGAAAAAAATTGATGCCAAATAACTAGCTACACATAATGTCCAGGCGTATCAAATTAAAGCACGATGCTGAAAAAATAGTATTGTTTTTTTTTGTTACATTTTTGTTTTGATTAACTAAATTGTTGATTCACTAATAGAAAAATTAGAAAAATATGCTCTTCTCACTACGAATGCTTCTTAATGAAGGGAAACACTTTTATGCTCGATATTGAGTATTGTTTTCTGGATTTTGATTACATTTATGAACTTAATAAAAAAGAAACAAAAAAATGCAATTGAAGTTAAAAGATGTGAATGTGACTGCCATTCAGCGATGCGATAGACTTGGGATAAAATCGATTGAGGATTTCTTTTTTCATTGAATGCCATCATGATTTCAATGCATATCAAGCGAGAATTCATATTTTTTGTGTTGGATAAAACTTTTCTTAAGCTATTTGTAAAGTTGCAGCTTTATTTTCTCTTTCTTTCATTTCTGAAACTAGTGTTACTCATGCAATTTTTGCTCAAAATCAATAGTGGTTCACTCTGCACTGGCAGAGCATTTGAATATAACAATATGTTTATTGGTTTTGTTGTAGCAAATAGGTAGCAGGAGTGAGAACGACAGTAGAAGTTATTTGAATTATATAAATAAATGTTGTGTATGTGTGTTTGTTCCAGTGAGTTTGTTGAATTTGGTTTTCATTTCTCTTGGGATGTGTTTTGTAAATGTTCACTTCGTTTACGTTGGACACAGCACTTTCAATATATAATCTGTAAGAAGTGTCGGCACCGTTGGACTGTCTTCATTTATCGCTTTCAGAACTGGTGGAAAAAAAAAGTTAAAATAACAAATTATTAGTTTTATATTGGGTAAAACTTTCGCTTCGAAATTCGGTATTTTGAACTCACTTTTTATCAAAACTTGCAAAGCTTGATTGTCCGGCGTGCCATTTTCTAAATGATATGGAATTACTGTGGTCAAGTATTTTGGTTCCAAACCTGCAAATCAAATCGTTTAATTAAGTCAACATATAAATATGATATTCAAATTTGATCGAAGTGAATGGATTCGAAAGCAACATTACCATTTGGTGTCGTTTTTCCTTGTGTTTTGTTGCGCTTCTTTTCAACATGGTATTGGCGTCGTTTATTTTGTACGGCCAACAACAACGAAATGAATGTATTTTTCATTTCTTTTTCGTATTCGAGCTCGTCACGTAATGCCAATTCATTTATGAGGGTTTCGGAAAATTCACAAATCAACACTTCCATTTCCATGTAAAGTTCATTGAGCTGTGTGGTTGACATTTTTTGCAATTCTATTTTTTTTTGACGAACCAAAAAACCAATTCATTATTAAACGAGTTTTAAAGTAAAAAAATCATCATTGGAAATTCAATTTATTCAAAATGACTTCATTGAGCCGCATTCTCTTATCGCCAATGTATGTGAAAAAAACTTACTCTCTTCATATAGTGGTGATCTCAATACTTCTTTTGCTTTTTCCATGACTTCTGACACTTCGGCGGCGTCTTCATTGTCCGATGATGTTTCATCCATAATGTCATCGATTTCTTTGATCACCTCTTCAGCCGATTTAATGGGCTCGTCTTCAGTGTGAAGGCCGCCCAAGATCAAAGCGTGCATGTCCAAATCATTTGCAACCGCCTCATCTTCAGAGCTTAAGTCATTTAATTCATCATCTGGCGTTTCAGCTAATCGTTGATTCAATTGCAATGCCGGCATGTGCATTTGACGTGCATGTGATTTTGTCCAATCAATTGGCAAAATGTTACCAAAATTTCCAGTTATAGTCCACCACATTCTGAAATTGCAAAAACACACATTCAAATTTAACATATTATGAAAAAAAGGTTTGTTTTTATCGATTTCGTTTCATCAGCAGAAAATCAAGTCAAATATAGAATGTAAACGAAGGTTTTTTCGGAGAAATGTCACATTCAATTTCATTCGAATTGGCCTTTTCAACAAAAATTATTAAAAATAAATGACAACAGTTTATCCATTAGTTGGTTTAATTATAACTTTGACATTTGCATAAAATGCCATCACTTTAGAACATATTATTTTGCAATGATAAATATTATTTCGATTCAATGCTAGGGGCTTAATTCAAAATTTTCAACGACTGAATTCTATAATAATATCTAAATTAACTGAATTTTTCTGCAAACGAATGAATTCCGGTGAATTCTACGACGATTTCATTCAAATATGTGAGATAGTGGTGAATAGTTTCTGCTGGCAATTACTGCAATATTTATATTTTGTGTAACAAAATTGTAAATGTTTTTTATATTTTTTTAATAAAAATTAATTTTATTTTCAATTTTGAGCGATTTTCTATCGAAAACAATCGGAAATATTGAAAAAATAATAAATTAAAAAATATTGTGGTTATCATAACCTCACTTTATTAATTTGACACATTTCATTCTATTCACACGAATTCACCGAATTCATCAATAACCACTCGATTCAAAAGTGTGAATTTACGTGAATTCCGTGAATTTTTTTGCCGTATTAAGCCCCTAGATTCAATGGTTGATGGTGTCATACATTTCAATTGCTGCTACACAGAAATTCACTTAATGACGTAATGTTTTTTTTTATGTTCAAATAATGTTTCGGAACTCATAAAGTGACAATTTGATTTAAATTGAAGCAAATTCGTTGACAATGTAAAAATAGATAAAAAGAAATAGATTAAATTCATTTGAAAACTACAGAAATTAATTGCTTGTGGAATGCGTTTTTCATTTGAAAATATAAAAAATAAAATGAAATTAAGCATGTGTCCATTAGTAATATTTTATCGTTATGACATAGATGATAAAAACACCCATTTTGAGTCTTTGTGATTGAAAAACAAAGTTTTTGGTATTTGTTTGCTGTATGTGGTTTTTGCTTGGAATGCAAACTATCTATCGAATAAAAAAAATTCTTGGTTGATGCCAATGTTTCCCAAAAAACACTTTCAATTTCGATGCTTGAGTTTGAGTGATGTATTGAAATGACCTCCTAATTTGGTGAAGAGACTCTAGAACAACGCAAAACCAGTGTCTTTCGAAATAACCGACAAATTCAAGTATCCAAGTTTGATAACATTGCACAATCAATGTGTTTATGGCCAAATCAAATATTGAAAGAATAAACAATAAATTTAAATGTGAAGACGGAAATTGTCATTTATTGCAATTTGAATTGCGTTCACTTGAAGCAGGAAATTCAAATGTATGTATGTGGGTTTAAAATGTGTGCTTGATCATTCTATTTGCCTGACCTAAACCAAGTGCTAATGTTTTTATCGCATGTTAAAACATTCAAATGAATTAGACACATACAAGCAAATGCTCTTAGCTTTGCAATGCTTTGCATATGAGTGTTGATGTGTCATTTCGGAATTGGATTTACGCAGTGATGAATTTTAATTTATTTACTAACCCATTTATTTTCGGTGTCTATTAGGTTGACCAACGAGTGAATGGCACCAATGAGATTCATGAAAAAAAAACTTGGAAAATTATTTTTGTGTGTTTGTAACAAAAAAGACTTGATTGTAGAAATTATTCACGATTTACAGAAGAAAGCAATCAAATCGGTGATAGCAATAACATCGTTGAAATGTCGAATACACATCAGCTGTTTTATGACTTATTTCATTGTTGTTGTTTTTTCTTAATCATTTTTCCGAACATTTTTGCTATTTTAACATTGCCAAGTTTTTTTTTCATATGTAATTTCCGCACGCTCGGAAAACAAAATAAACAGAAGAGAAAAGAAGTGAATAAAATAGAACAGATTGAAACTTTTATTCGGTTTCATTTCCCCGCTGCCCGAAAGGCATTCCATGCATGCTTTTAAAGAATGTGTGAGAAATATGTATAATGACGACGAGAAAAAAAAATTAATTGTAAAGAGAAAATGGAGAAAAAGATTTATTTCGAAATGAAAAAAAAATAATAACAACAACAGAAATGTTTGCATGTGGCATGAAACTGGGAGTGACCTCATTTCGATTGTTATGTGTGAGTTTTCGCTTTGTATTTGCCGGTGTTTGATGAATTTCATTTGCAAATTTCAAAATAAATTACGCAGATTATAATGTGTGGGTTGAAACCAATGACATTATTTGTCATAATTTTGCTCTAATCTCTATAATCCATTCCACTTTCCATAGTTTTATTATTTCAAATGATATGGATTATCAGATTTCGATGTAACAAGAGCATGATAATAAAAACTAAAAAAACTTTGACGCAGCAAAGAAACCATAGAAACTACTGTACATCGGTTCGGTTGATATGAAATGAGTAAAACGATGAGCATTGAATGAACGTGGAACCGCAAAGTCTGCACCATTTTGGTGTTACGACGATGGTTATACACATTGTGGAAAACCAAAACAACTGCAACAATAAAACAGAGGGAAAAAAGACCCTGGAGCATGACAACAAATGTCACCATTGAAATCGATTTCTGAAGTTCTACTTATATTGCCGTGCCAAATAGAGTGCGGTTGTCATTTTATCTTTGTCTTCTAATTCTTCTTTATGACCGCGTATTGAACACTCAAAAGAGCCAAACAAAATTGAATATTCAAAAGGTTTGGAGGTCGCTCATTGTACAAATATCCTTGTAAATTCGCCCGAACTGACGTACCAATTAAACTTATTATTTTTTGCATTCATACATCATAGTTGATTGATGTTAATTAATAACGGTTCATAGACATAAAGAAATGAATAAACAGTAAATGAAATAAAACATCGTTTTAAATGTGGAAGATGTTTGCTGTTTCGAAATTCAAATTCCTCCAGTTAGAATGTGAATGACATCATTTATTAAACCCGTGATCATCACAAGCGGCATAAGCTTAATAAAAATGTCTCTTTTATTGCATAACAGTGTACACGGCCTGATTTTCTCAACTCTTAATAAATTCTAATTTCATAGATATATTTGTGTCAATTCGAATGAGTGAAAAACCTTAACAATGTCTTTATATTTCAGGCCAGTTAATATCTATATAAAACAAGTTTCTTCATTTATAGTTTCATCTTGTTTGTTTAACTTGTTGGAGTGTTTACTGCGAAATTTATTTTCACCATTTAAAATGAAAAGATGCATTGGCTGTGCGACAAAAATGAGTATAAATCATTCGAGTTAAATCCTGCGGCATTGCAATTGTGCATTATGCAGCGCCATGGGGCTTCATTTTGTTGAAATAAGAACAGAGTATGCCACAATAAACGAAGCTTAAACGGCATGGTAAATATTAACTTGTTTATTATTTGTCCATTTTCCACTCGGCTGCGAAGTGTTATCGAAGTGAAATATTGCAAATATACCAGAATAAGAGATGCATGCATGGTTGCATGAGACCGGAATTGATTACCATGTCAAAAATGATTATCAACATGTAGAAAATATTGATTGCAAACTTCATCAGATGAAAGAACGATCAGTTTCGAAGAAAACTCATGTTCCATAAATCACATTTTATCTGAAAAAAGGTCTATTTTCAGACTATTTATTAGATTTATTTTTATAACAAATTTGAACGAGTTCCTATCAACACGACGAACACTCCGATCGAATTTCGATTTAAATTATGGGGATTTACGTAATCGTTATTGTTCCATAATCAGATGTCAAATCTAATTTGTATCGAATCTTTTTGATCATCGTTGAATGGTATTTACTTGCCATACATTATTCACAGCCACCAAAAATAGATTCAACTTACAAAAACAAAATGGTATAAAATTGAATAAATTGAGACGGAACAAACCAAACAGGTAAAATGAGTTGATCAAATGTCGTTAAAGCTTAATGATTCGTGATGCCGGCGACACAAAATCTCTTTTAGTTTGTATTTGATGATGGTTTTAAGCAACATTGTAAAGAGAATTGCTATTGATCGCTGTTGGTGTTCGCCGCCATCCACATTGTTTGCAGTTGCAGCGTCTCTAATCGAAATCACGTCAACGCATTAAGGCAATAAAAGAACTTGTAATAAAACCCAATTGAATTGTATTTCCATGTCGTAGGTTTCAATGTCCAAAAGAAAATCAGTGGCTGAAAAACATGCAAACATACACACATTACATGTTATGGCATAAAGTATCTTTTGCAACATTACGATAGAAAATGATACGAATTCGTGAAATTTAAATAAAATTGACATTACTATGTGCTAGCCACAAAAAAACACATGTTATCTGAATAATGTGCAGCCACATGTTCCGTGTTTGTGTGCCACATGTACATGGACTCAAGTGAAACTGTATTATGCAAAATGTAGAGCTCACAGAGAGAAGAGAAACAGTGCACAATTGTTGTAATATAAATCGAGTACGTTGCATTCGTTGTACTTCATTAAAAACCGTTAAACGGTGTACAACAACATCTTTGGATGGCAATTTTGCATGGTTGCAAACACTGACAGAGCACTTTTTTCGAATTTCGTGCGGTGAAAGATACTCCAGTTCATTTGTCGACACACTTTAACTCCAAAATGGTTATGTTTCAATGATCAATTTATTCGATAACGAAATGCAATGAAATTACATCTTTTTGTGTTTCTCTCATTGTACCTATTCGTTTGTTGATGTGATCTTCGATTTGGCCGTGATCAATTCAACTGATTTCCAAACAGAGGTAGAGAGAGAAATGAGACGCAAATTATTTCGCAACATGTAATTTTGCACGGAATGCCATTTGATTGATGCGAAGCAATTTTCGAGATCATAATCATAAGCTTTAACAAAAGCCAATTTATTGAGTAAATTAACAAAAACAAGTTCAATGCAAAAGCATTTAATATAGCCAAGCATTAAAGTAAAAGTCTTATCATCATTTTTTCTCTCCTTCCTTATTGTTCCACAAATGAAAAAGGAAAGGTGATATCGACGCAGTTCTTTCACCTTTCTCACCATACAGTTAAACGCATTCAAATAGTCACGTTTCATGTTCTCTATTGAATTTTTTTCTAAATAGTTGCTTCTAGCTTTTTCTAAATCTGAATTTATGACATGAATTTTTTCAAACACCAAAATTCCATTCGAATAATATTCAATTCAATACTTTTGAGTCGAACGTTTAAGGCGGCAATGAGAGAAAATGAACAGATATTTTGTCACGTTCTATTTTGTATTGTTTGTATATTTTTATGATCATAATCGCTACTAGTTATGTTGTTTCAGATTTACTTGTAGTCTTGTTTGGCTCAGCTGGTAACCAACATGAATGTTAATATAAATACGGAAGAAGACACACATCTCGTTTTCTGAACGACAACAAAAGCGAATGTTTTCAATGCAATATCATATAAAAACGTCTTCAAAAGAAAAACAATTCAAAGGCTTCCTACGCAGGAAGACGAAAGAAACTTCAATAATTCTAATTTGTACATGATTTGTAGCCTCTTGATATTAGGCGTGCATTTGTATTTATTCACACATTGGTGTAAATTGCAGTATTATTGAATTAAAATATATGGCGAATTATAAATTTGAGCATTTTTCACTCTTTCGCCACGGTGTACTCTTTAGTATGGATTGGGATCGGCTGCCATGCAATATCTTCATTCCATATCTCTCACGCCAGCTAGATTGGCTTCGGCGGACATCAACGTACGATCGAAGTCAACTGAAATTTTTCATTTTTCACCTCAAACATACCCCCCAAAGGGTTTTTCAAAATTCCCACCCCCTAAGAGACCATCATAACTTTTTGGCAACAACCTGCTTTTGGTTAAATAAACAGAATACTTATTTTTTTAGTACACTCTTCCTTATGTTTGATATTATTATTATATTGTCATAAAGGAACCATAAAGACATAGATCACGCGTGTAATAAAATATAAAAACAACAGAAAGTACTCGATTCAAACAGAGTATTCATATGTCGTGACATTTAGATTCTAAAAATCATTTATTACCCCACATATGCAAAACGTGAACACTGAAAAAGCATATGAAAAACCATTTTATTCTCCAAAAACAATTTTTGTGACATTAGATAAAGAGTAAGTCAACTAAAAACATCTAGAATCTTATCTAATGACATGATCATTTAGTTTTTTTATTTAATGACATGATCTTATTTGAAGATTTATTAGCAAAAGATTTGTTTGTCCGTCCTACCTTAAAAGTCGCACATTTTAATTTTGTCAAATAGAATAAAATAGTGCGAATCCAAGCTTTGATGGGAATGAATTGATTTCGGTTCGATTATTTTGAAAAGCCGCTGGTCATAGTCCAAGACATAAAATTTCGTTTCAACGATATATTCATAAATCCTTAACGGAGTTGCTTACAGGGCATAAAATGAATATCTTTATTATTATTATATATGATGTCGTGAACGATTATAAACTTTGTTTATTCGAATTTGGCCATATATTTTCACAATCACCATATAAAATCATTATCTCATTCGCAAAATGTGATTCTGTGTATATATATATAGTAGAATCGAATTGGCTTTTATTTTAGTCGTTTTTTGGATTGAAAGTATGGAAATCAATTTTATTCTGTACACTTGTTGCTTTCTTTCGTATTTCGTGTCATCGAACGCGATCGACGATGGGTCTACAAATGTCACAAATCTATCAGTTCAATCTGATGGTACAGCTAGTGATATTTTAAATATATTGGAAGATGTGTATTTTGACGTGGGTATTGAAGAAGATAAAGTGTTGGTGCTTGGAATAACGGGTGTGGGAAAAAGTTTTGTCTCCTGTCTCTTAATAGGTGATGAAACTTTAGAAGCAATTGAAGGAGAATATTACGAATTAATTATAATTGATAAAAATGGACGTGTAAGTACCGGTCCAATAACGCAATCGAGAACAGTGGCGCCAGATAGGATGACAGATGGCCAATACACATACTTCGACTGTCCTGGATTCGATGATACAAGAGGCATAGCCAATGATATATCTGTATCGTACTTTATTAGACGATTGCTCGATGCTGCAAATACACTAAAATTCGTATTTATTATCAATTATACTGCCCTGTTTGGTGGTGAACGTAATGCATTTACCGATTTGGCATTACATGCGACAACAATGATACAAAATATAACGAACTATCAACACGGTATGATGCTAATCGTGAATAGGAGTCCAAATGAAAGACGAAATGGACAATTGATTCCTGATGAAACATACATTCTACGTATTATCAGTGCCCTGGAAGCAATTAGAACCCAAAAACTTGGCGAAAATGATGCAAGCACTAATGCTGCAACTATTGAGCAAAATAACAATATTATTGAATTTATCGATGTTATTTTGAATAAAGATAATACTATTGGAAATAGGAAAATAGGTATTGTGCGTGAAGTAGAAGATATTGGGTTGATCAATGATATGGAAATATTCCAAACACAAAGAGAATTTCTAAAACAAATTATTAATCAGAATCTTCAATTTATACCGAAAAATGATGAAGATTTCGATCATACAATTTCCGATCGTTCGAAATTAATCTTGTATCAGCAATACGATATCGTTCACGTAAACCTTCAATCGGCAATGGATGACATTGCCAGGCAAATAAAATATTTCGTTATTAAAGTGGAAAGAGACAATTCGGATATAACTGTTATACGCGATCAATTGATTGAGTTGTACGCAATTATAAGAAGCATTCAATTTACGCCTGGACCACGTTCATTCGTTCAACAAATTCGTACAGACCTATTACATTATGGCGTGCTTACTATACCAGAAATCATGTCGACCGATGTTATGTCCGATGAATTTTTCGATATATTGGAAACATTATTGATCGAAAGTGATTTTTCACAAATATATGGAATAAATCTTGTTGGGCAAGTCGACTTTTTAACAACATCTCGAAGTTGGTACGATTTTTTAATAACTTTGGATTCAATATTGTCAAGATCATCTAACGAAATAGATGCACAAGAGCTAATGAACAATTGTAATATTAGGGAAGACGAAGAGAGATTTGTGGAAAATATAAAATTAAAAGAATTTTTAGATAGCATTCATGAATCTCATCTCTACAGAGAATTTGAAAACGCTGTAGTAAATCACTTTGAACTGAAGGCATTGAAAAATGTGTTACAAATTCACTTGGTGGGAAACCCAGATATAAAATGTCAATCAAAAGAAATGACTGTAACGGGATATAAATTGAGAATGAGTGACATTTTGAATAGTCCATGTTGGGAAGATGCGACATACATTGAAATATTTGCAATAAATCAACTATTCATCGACCAAGATATTGATAAAGTCGGAAAAGTTGTTCAACTTTCCATAATTGCACCAGTTTGGAACATTCCATCTGCACAAACACTGAACTTAGCTGGTGAAGATGGTGACAAAAATGAACAAAAAGCTCGTAAGTTTTATGAATGATTTACATTATATATTCAAAATTATAATTTTTGAAAATGTTCAACAGAGGTGGGTATGAATGGAACAACTGGAGAAACAGGCGGATCTGGTGGCAATCTCATAGCAATATTAAATGAATGCGAAAACGATCATTTATTATCAATTGATACAACAAGTGGACATGGTGCGCAAGGACAAGACGGTGGTGATGGTAAAATATTTCTATATCAAAACATTTTATTTTATTTTTAGAACAGTTCATTGAGTTTTTCCATTTTTGCTTGTTTAGGAAAGAGTGGAGAAAAAGGAGAAGATCCACCTTATCCCTCACGTATTACTAATAGTGCTCTTCAAGCACAATGGACAAGGCTTGGTTTCAAATACATTTTCAAAAAATCTTGGAAACATTCACATTCAACATTCCACCAATACAAGGTTTGGGGATTACCAGGTACAAGTGGCTTAAAAGGAGCCAGTGGTGGCGACGGCGGCATAAATCCCAGCAATGGCATTTTAAAATTAATTTTTTTAAATCGGGAACAAAACTTTAACATACACGATCGTGGAATGGCAGGTACATAATAAATATTTCGTTATATGTTAATTTTTCAATGTGTGAAGCAATAATGTTCACGAACTTTTCATTTTTCGTCTTCTTTAGTGAGTCTTCCGGGCCATCCTGGTTTGGGTGGACCCGGCGGCAGGGATGGTGATACATGTATCATAAACCATGAATATTATAACCGATGGGGTAATATAGTCAATACTGTTTATTATAGAACTACATTAGAATCCAGCGAACCTGGTGAAATTTCAGCAAGTAGTGGTGAAGAAGGAACATCCAATCCCCCGAACACTAATATAACAATCATTGACACAATGCAAAAGAAGCCGTTCTACGCAGTGAATAGTTTTAAGAGTTTCGCTCGTGCGAAGCTAGTAGAAAATCCGAATGAGATGAGATTGCGTGAATTTTTATCAAAAATTGATGATTCGGTTGAAGTACATCAGTCTTACAACCTAATTGGGTTTTTGAATGAGTTTGAATCGATTGAAAAACAGTTTATCGAATTAAAGAATTTCATATCATTTACACCCTTCCTTCGATCATTGTTAAATCGAGTTGAGTTATATAACTCAACGGGCGGAATCCAAACTGAAAATGATAAAAAAGTTTTCCGATTTTTATATACTGCCATAATGTCAAAAATTAATTCTTTAAACGAAAAGGCAATAACCATAGTCAATTTAGAAATATATCTAAATGTTATTCTGAATAACATTGAAGAATCGGATCTTGTACAACAAAAATTAAACATTGCAACTGAACAACAAAGATATCAAAAAAATCTGGACGATAAAATCAACATGGCATCGGCATTAATAAATAGTGAAATCAATCCGGCAATCCAAAATATTTATAATAGAATTGACGGAACCATTCTTGATTTGATCGATAGTATAATTCAAGAGCAACAAAATACGCAACAGGACATCGAGACTGCAAGACGAATTGAAAAGCAATTACGTGCAAATCTTTCAATGCAAAGACTTTTCTTCGGCATCAATTTGATAGTTGGGACAGTTTCGGTTCTGACCGGAGTCGGAGCAATAGCCGGTGCTCTGATTTCCACGGGCTTAACAGTTACCCAAAACCTTGCCATTAAGGAAGTAGATTCCATTGACACATTGATCAAAAACGCACGAGCGGAATATGCAAATCGATATAAACTATTAGATACCAAAATTACCGACATTCAAAGTTTGTTGTATGATTTTTTCAACGCTGATGCATCCAATAGCTTATTAAACATTCAACAAAAACTAAATGAGACAAAATACAAAATAAATGATGCAATCAAACAAAATGACGTATCCGATGCGGTTGCCACTGATCGATTATACGAATGGCAAAAGGAATGCGAAGATCTGTTAAAAAAAGAAAAGGGTCTTGAAAGTACAAGCGCGAAACTTTCTGAAAATTTAAGTAAGTCTATTCAACTGCTTGAATTGGGTTTCACTTCAATAGCGGAATACAATAAAATTAAAAATAATAAAGATCAATTGGCGATAGCCGTTCAAAACCGAAAAGCATTGGAACAAAAATTGGAGCAACTGGAAATGCAAGAGCGCCTAGTCTACGATGCTATGATTCCGACGTTGGAAAGAACAAAACTGCTGTTAGAAAATTTAATCGCAGATTTGGAGGGTGGAACACAAGTCGAATTGGACATAGGCAAATGGAACGTTAAAAATTCACTGGAAGACGTGAATCGATTGTTTCAACAAACGTATGCTGGATTTGATGAAATAACCGAATTAAATCGACATTTAAATAGTTTATCCGAAGCCATAGTATTGGTGCTGAATATTTATGATCGATGCGAAACAATATCGGATCACAAGAAATTCGCCGATTATATAACGGTACTCGTGTCGAGAAACGACTATGATGAAATAACTGATGATCCTGAATTAAGTAATGCCGTCATTCGTTTGAAGGATTCGATTTTGACCAATATCATTGTGGAGCGTCATGATTGTGCGATGAGAGCCTTCAAACAGCATAAATTTCCATTTGCTCAACTCTTCTTTTCACAATTCGATTTGCCAGCCAGTGATAATTTGAATCTATTGAGACAGAATGCAAGGACTCAAGTGAATAAAATGATCGAAAAACTTCAATTGGACGATGCAACTGTAAGCGAGGAGTCAAGCAACATTATCTCAGATTCATACAGCGAAACTTCTAGTCTCACGACGTTATTTTACGTTTGGAATCATGCAGAGATAGAAAATGAAATTGCTGATTTATTAAGTGAAAAAGAAATTGTACTTAACGCCGATATTACGAAAAAATTAAACAAAAATGCGGTCAAATTTAAAGAAATCGAACTCGTCTTCAAATTAGCAAATGAAACAAATCAAAGAGAATTCAATTCCTTATTGGAATATTACTTTTTGAATTTGACTATGGGCGGCAATAACTATTACAGATGTAATAACGAAATCTATTATTGCTCGACTGACGAAAATATTATTATTTATTACAGTTTGAAGAAATCCTCAAACGGAAAACCAGAAAAGGACAATGAAACTTATAGGAAAATTAAAGAAGGACCACGGTTTTTTTTGAGTCCATATAATTCATGGCATGTTACTTTACAGGTTGAACCGACCAAGAGATCGTTGTATCGAAGTCAAATTGAAAAATTAAAAACATTCCAAAATGAAACCATCGATATTGAATTGAGGGGTCGCGGTCAATATGTAAGACAAAATTCAGTCACTTCGGACAAATATTGTACACCATCATTGGCAAACTATTATAAAAGCATAATCACATATTAATTTTGGCAAATTATGTAAATGAAATGTTTTTCAAATGCTTCTAAATGTTCTTGACTTTTAACGAGAGAAACATTCTTTATTCTTTTCAAGCTAATTCAACAAGAATTAAATTAGCTTCACTGAAACCATAAATAAATGAAATTGTTTCTTCCAAATATTTTTACTGAAAATGTTTTAATTGAACAACAAATACGAATATCACACTAAAAAAAGTGACATTATGAAATAAACATAATAACATGCAAAATTCATAATTTAGTCATGTAAATCATTTTAATCTTTCAATCAAATTATCAGTAAATATTTACATTTTTCTATATTTATGATTTAGTTTTCGATATATTAAAATTCCAATAAATAGTTAAACTTTCAAATTTTAATAACACAGCGGAAAATATGTTGGAGTCATGGTTGAAATTTTCTTCTTTCGAAAAATGGAATCTTTGACGGGCTCAAGGTTTTCAGATGAGGGTTCAATATAGTTCAATTACTATATAAATGGATTTTCAACATTTTATTTTTTGAAGAAATTTCAAAAAAAGCGATTTTCCAAAATGCTCGGGTTAAGCATCGAGCAGCTCAATATCTTGAACAATAGAAATGAGTATTTCCAACGCGCACCTCATAATTTAACTTTGGTCGCCGGTCACTGAATGTTACCGAACATGAAATGGCCATGATACGCGCGCACTTACACCGCTAACATAAAGAAATATTAAAATCGAACCACATACATAGAAATGGTTCATGATGCATGCAATAGAAATGTATGTGTTGCCATGTCATGCTATCTCTGCGTGTGTTAGATTCATTGAATAAGTTTCAGGAAGCCAATTAAAATCGTTGTCGAAATACAAAAAGAAAAGAGTACAATCAACAACAAAAATTATGTAGCCATTGGAGCAAACCTTCAATTACATCTACAGAGCTATAAATGAGTCACTGGGCAGTGGCTGTTGTTAAGTGAATGCCAACAATTGAAAATGAATGTTTTATTAATGGTAAATTAAAAAAAAAAACAAATCTTTGCTTTCACCAAACTGAAAATGCCAATTTTATTAACCAAATGTTAAATGATTTGTGTAAATATAGGAAAAAGCCATAGTTATATGGTCGTATGCCAAAATAAGAATAGAAAACAAAAAAAAATTACATGTTTATGAGGAAAAAAGGCGTATTGACCTTGAATGTATGTACTTTGAATACCCAGCACAGTTGGCCCAGCGGAGTAGTTCTCTGCTTGCATTACAGTTCCAGCTAATTACGCGACTGGTTATTACTGTCATAATTGGACGAGTATAAAAAAATGCGTGCCAAAGAATATTGTGCGGTGAATAATGATGAAACGTTATCTTTGTATGACTATGGCTCGTTAAACGAGTCGAGCAACAGACATCAGTGGATCAATGCAGTGTATTCTTTGTTTAGAACTGATGTTGATAAGTGTTTTATTTGTGTGTGTGATAGACGGTGTCGGGAGAGTAAATAACAGCGACACTTTAGGAAACGCCATATAAAAACATTGCTTGAATTTAATTATGCATTGCATGGGCTCCTTTTTACTTGAAATGGGCTTCCTTTTTTATTATCCAATTGTTGACTTTGCAAATCGGCCGACAGATGCATGTTAATGATCTCGTAATAAGAGATCAAGGCGGAATTGTGGATGCTTAGCTTTCAAGATTGTCAGCATGCGATTCTAATTTCGCTCTTTCGTATCCATTATGTCAATGAATGGAGGCCGCGTTCGAGCACAATTTTCACACATTCGGTTTGTGTTGAGGCGTTTCAACAGAACCGCATCGAACATGCTAATGACTAATAAACTATATACTTAGAATCATTGAACACGTTATAAAGCGTTGAACAATTCGATATTCATCATTTAAAGAGGAAAAAAATCAAAACAATTTGCTCTTTTTTTTAAATAAATCACTGACCGAAGTGTGAGTCAGAACTATATAAATCACCCATTGAGTATACGCATATATTTTTATTGTGACGCATCCGTTGAGAGCGCGAAAGAAAGAGCGCGAAAGAAAAATGTTGCGCATTTCAACGCCATCACCTTCTATGAGAGGCGAGATTGAGATCACCGCGTCAATACACCAAATATAATTTCATGTTTAATTAACATTCAAAATGTGGATGAGTCACTGCAATGCTGTAACTATTTTTGGTTTTTATTCGAAAATGCAAACACACAGAAAGTGGACGCTCCATGATCTAATTATTAGCCAAAGAAAAATAATTGCTGGTGAATTTCCAATTCAATCATTGCTTCGATCCAAAATTCATGCTGAATTAATTAGCCAAATGGATGACAATGGTCAATGCGTACAATATACATAATGCGTACCAAGCAGAATTAGAGACAAAAAAAACGTTCTGCGCACTCATCACGTCATACCATCATACTGTGTATTGTGTTACACAAGCCACGATTAAATTGATATAACCGAGTATAAACGGCAACATTTCGAAATTTCGACATTTTCATTTGACCGCTTCCATAATAATGCGAACAATGCCTTAATTGGTTTCATATTTTATCGGTGTTGCTTTACCAAAAATAGTTTCGATTCTATTGAATATCTTATTCGGACAAATGCATATGGTTATGAAACGTGCGGTTTCGTTGCTTCGATTGCACATTTGGTTTGCATTTCATTTGTCTTTCTTCTTTTTTCCTTCGTTTCAACGGAAACTTAATGCCCGTGGTCGACAACAAAAAGAAATGATGACAAGCGGGCAAGAGGCCTTTTAAAAAACTTAATCGACTCGAACGATGTGAATGATTTAAATGAAACGCGAATTGTAAATGAATATTCGTAAAGATGATGATGAAATAGTCAGTTTAAAAATACATTTAGCTCAGCATTTATGAAGGAGGACGCAGAACAATTTATTGACCATAAAAAGAGAGCACAAATATTCAATACAATTATGATCTTATAGTGTGGCATCTCTCGAATTTCATTTTCAAAATATTACTGTAAAGCAAAAAAAAGGCACGGTGCATCACACAAGATAATAATTTAACAGCAAAAAAAATGAAGCGATGTGTCCAAGAATCTGTTTCACGTATAAGGTAATAGGCTTTCAGCTGCGCGTTGAGACAAACTTGGCAAAATTTATGCAGAAGTATTGTTGTTGCTTCATCTTGTTAAATAAAATGTGCGCATCGCTCTTCTTCAGTTGCATCGTTTTCAAAGCCAATGTGCATGATGCGCTTGTATCATCATCGACGGAGAGAAACTTTCTTGAAATGATAAATCTATAAAAAAAGCATATACATAAATGGCAAGCAACGAAAGAAATATGGCAAAAGCGATAAACAACAATACTCGGCCTACTCGAGCTTCAGGGTAAATGTATGAAACATCAAACACATGCCGAAAAAAAGAAGAGGCAACCACAGATTCACATTGCATTCGCGCACGGAATGCAGACGAAAAGATTGAATTTGATGATGACGCATGTGAGATTCATACATGTAATATCAGCGAAACCGATTGTGAATTCGATGTGCGCAGCAATTCCACATCGAACGATTGTCGAAGAAAAAGAAAACGGGTTTAGAAAAATGGACAGGAAATAGGAGGTAAACTTAAAATAAATGAGTTAAGGTTAATATCGTTGAAGAGACTGATGCAATCGGCGACAAAACTTATTTACAATATATGTTCGATTGTTCGCACTGTTCCATTTTCAAGCGATATACACCAGATTTCATTTCATGAGTTGGAGTCAACACTAAAATCGATATCAAAAAGACAGTTGCAAATGTGAAGCCTGTGAAACTGTGTCGCTGTGCCGATTTCCATGTCATTTGGTACTCTCACACGTTTATTCGGTTTGGCACCATAATGATGTATATGACATTGCAACCCATACAGTGCAGTTTGCATATTGCTTTTTTTCTTCTTCTTCTTCTTCTTCTTCTTCTCCATCGATCGATTGAAATTGATTCAATTTTATGACCGCGTCATTTGGCATGGTTTTCTTTTTTTTTCGTTGGTTTAACAAGATTGTACTCAATTTCCAAAATGCGCAGCAAATGCAAACTAAGTTGCGTGGGTCGTTGTTACATTTGATACAGTATAATTATTTACATAAATTAAATGTTTTATTTATGCACTGGTAATTGAGTTATCGAGTGGCGCGCCTGTTTTTCCACATAAATTCCATCAATTCTCTTTTTCACTCATCGATTACAGATACTCAATAACTGAATGTCTGCTTTTTCTTCGTTTTAAAACTGAAATGTTTTATGTAAACGCATCGAATTGTTTTTAGCACTTTCACACATCTTTTAACATGAAATAGATGCGATTATTTGTTTTTTACACATTTATCTATCGCATTCAGAGGCAAATGTACATTCATGAGGCAATCTGTATAACACATGTGTGTATTTACTTATATGATGGGGGGAAACATTTTCGAAACGAACTTCATCCATTAGCATCTATTCTTATCTAAAATAACTGAACTTGCCGATTTGTTATTTTTAGTTTTTCGGCTTGATTTTTTTTCGTTCAGCATTTTCAAGTAAATAGATGAACCGATTTTGATTCGAATCCCGCAGTGTTGCAGACAAATTTCATTAGATAAATAGGTAATTCAAAAGACTCAACGGCAATAATTTCACAGCAGTCACCAGTTTAAGTCACTAAACTGCCGTTTATTCAATATCCATGAGGTGCATAAAGGTTCATTTAATTGCTATCCGTTTAACACAACATGTTCAATGCAGCCACAAAAACTATACTGCATACGCCCGGAGACATACAAATCATTCGTTGTTCACGTAAGACTTTGTCGGAGATTTGTTACATTTTCGTTGTTTTCATACGCTTCGTTGAGAAAGAGTATCGATTTTAAATGCATCCCAACATTTCTTTCCACATTGCATGAGCAGGTAGAAAAAGAAAACATATGCTGCACACTTTGACTTTGAAGCACAAACGGGTATGTTTTTTTTCTCTCCTTCAACTCGGAAGACATAAAAATCGACTTGCTTCGTCGAGATACGGGCGAAACATGCAGGTGAACTCTTTTCATATGAAGATCATCTTTCACTTTGTTATTGGAGATTTGAAGCAACCAGACCACAAGCACACAAACAAGCAGAGTGAAAAACAAAATATCAGC